GATGTGGTGTACCTGGATCTTTCAGAAAGCATTTGACAAGGTGCCACATAAAAGACTTGTAAAAAAAAATCTCTATAGGTGTGGGGGATAAATTAGCAAATTGGATAGAAGAAAGCAGAGAGTTGTTACAAATGGAGTTCAGTCAGACTGGATTAATGTCCCAAGTGGGGTACCTCAGGGCTCAGTCTTAGGACCTTTGCTCTTTTTGATTTACATCAGTGACATAGATGAAGAAATGGTGAATAAATTACTTAAATTTGCTGATTATATTAAAGTCTTGGGTGTTACTGGTTGTGAAGAGGATGCTGCTGCTTTACAAAAGGATTTAGATCATTTAGTAAGTTGGGCAAATAAATGGCTGATGGGTTTTAATTATAATAAATGTGATATAATGCATGTGGGTTATTATAATTTGGATGGCAATAACCTTAACAGTGTTATGGAAGTAAAGGATCTTGGTGTAGTGGTTGATCAGTCTCTTAAGCTATCTAAGCAGTCTACTGTTGCTAATGGTAGGGAAAGTAGGATTTTAGGTTGTATCTATAGAAATAATAAATACAAGTGTAAAGAGGATATAATTTCATTGTATAGGTCACTGGTTAGGCCACATCTGGAGTATTGTGTTTAGTCTTGAGCTCCTTTTCTTAAGAAGGACATTGAATTGTTGGAAAGGATTCAGAGGAAGGCTATTGGGATGGAAAGATTGTCATAAGAGGACAGGTTTGCTGTTGAAAAAAGAAAAGTTAGATGGGATCTGACTTAGGTGTTTAAAATTGTTAAGGAAATTGACAGTGTTGATGCGTCATCTTTGTTCATACTTATTGATGAGAATGGTAGGACTAGGAAGCATAGATATATATTTCGGCAAGGTGGGAATCATTTTCAGTTAAGAAATTTTAATTTTTCTAACGGGGTAGTTGGCCTTTGGATGTGGTGGAGGCAGTGAATTTAACTGAGTTTAAAGGAAAATCTGATAAATATATGAATAATAAGGGTTGGCTGTGAGTGTTTTAGGTTTAGTGTAATTTAGTAGATGGGACAGCTAGATGGACCAATAGGTTCCTTGTTGTCCCTAAATATTATGTATTAAATAACATGTACCTTTAACTTGGTGTTAGCAAATTCCACTGACATAAAAACCTTAACAAAAACATATTATTTAGTAAGTTATTTAAGCTAAAGGTGTTTATAACATGATGACCCCTAGTATTTATAACTTACTTGATAATTTTTTAAAATAGCATTTGGCTATCATTTTCACATATTATATACCCTGTAAAGCACATATTAAACTGTACACATGATAGCTTGAGAGAGTGAGAGAAAGATTGATGTGTAATGTGAGTGGAAATAATGTTAATAAAGCTCAGGATGTTACTGTTGTTTGATCCAGAGTAGGAATAGTTGCTCACATGATATGTGTAATACCATTTTTTGAAAACTTGCATCATATATAATATTTCTTCAAAAATATAAATTTTTTAAATTCTGAAATACATAGCAATAAAAATATATTTGTACCTCAGCAAACAGAATACTGAAAATAATACCCATGGAATCCTATTCTGATAAATTTTGGCTGGCAAGCAACTTCTAGAGTTTTGTTGGTATCCCACATCTGATATTAAGGATGAAAGGGCACTGAAGTATCACAGTTGGATGAGTGTCTTGTGGTGGAGTGTTTGAATTCAAGAAACACATATTACAGTTTCATTGTAATGAGCTAATTAGAATTTTTTTGCAACTGTAAGAAAAATAGAGACAATTTCACATGCAGTAAAGATTGATTGTGGGGAAGGAGGAGTGGAATTTCAAAAGTTCAAGAACAATAAGAGTGTGTGTAGAATCTCCCAAAACATTTATTTATGTCTATCTAATCAAACTAGCTGAAAAGTAACTTTTTTTACTGGTGCCTATATTAATGTGTAGTTCATCACATATTGTGTTTTTAATAATAAGATGATGTGCAGTAATGTGCAGATTAAAAATGGTAATTCTTCTTTTCCAAATAAAAATAAAACAAGTAAAAACTCTGGTTAACTAGGAGGAACTTGACATCTTAACAGGGATTCCATGGTGTATTTTCTGGGTAGTGGGTATAGCCTCATGATTACTTAGCAGATTTTTTAGAATCAATTAAATTGGCTCTCTCTGCATTTTAGAAAAATCCTTAGTATAAGCTCCATTTCTTCCCAGATGCTTGCATTTTATCTGAAAGCATTTTCCTAAATGGATAACTTTTGATTTAAAAATAATAAAACATGAAATTCACTTTAAAAGTGAAAGATGCTGAAATTTGTAGAAATAAAGAAAGCCATCATTAAAGCTCAAAGGGATTATGAAAGAATTTTTGTCTCAAAATATCAATTTTTATGCCTATAGTAAATGTAAAATGAGAGAGGCAAGAACAATGTTGTTTTTTGTGAGAAACTTTGAAAGAGACCTTGTTATGGAAGAAGAGAACCATGGCTAAAGTGTTAATTTTTTTTTATATCGAAAGAATTACCATAATTTTAATATTTGTTAAAGAAGTAGTTAGAGAAAGTTTAGATACAAATTTGGTTAAAAAGCCAGTTGGGTCCATATGGTAATTTTTAATTATTTACTTTTTAAGTTTTTTTTTAACATAATTGATGTAGAACTTGGGGATATGTAACAATGACTTTTTTGTATGATTCCAGTGAATTATAGTGTAGTCTCAAAATTTGGGTCTTTTGCTCTTTAACTTAAGAGGAGTAAATTAGCGATGTCTGTAATACCAAAGTTACCTTTGAAGGTGAAATCAACATTTTATGTAACTCTTCATTAGTTATTATATCTGAAAGACTGTTATAGTTGAAGGTTCTACAGTTTATGGCCTTATTGAAAAATAACTAATTGTTAGGTATATAAATTATTAGTAATAACTGTTGTAGTGGGATGTCTCTGACTATAGATTCTAATTTAATTAGTTCTGTACCATTTTATACATTGTGTATAATAAAATATCAAGATACTGAGAGATTTTCCCAGATCAGGTATGAACCAGTAATCCTCGGCTCATTCTAGTGTTCTGAGGCTGATGTTCAATGAGCTATTAGGTCTGAAGTCCCCAAGCAGACAACTCCTTATCCTGACTGTTACAATTTCAATCCAACATCTAATTTCAGTTTTTCTGATATTATAATTAATAGCGACACATCTGACACTAATGTTGTTCCACTATCAGACTAACATATAATTATAGTTTATTTGTTGATGGAATTAATGGTGTAAGTAAATCTTAGGCCTAATGCTATTGCACCATATCAGACCAACATATAGTGACAGTTTATATGGTGATAAGAAGAACGTTGTTGTACATGTAACAGTTATTAGGCTTAATTTCATTTCACTGTATATGAAACCAACATATAATTACAGTTCATTATTTATAAAATTAGTGATTATGTAGCAGTCAGTGTTAGGCATAATCTTATTCCACTGTATCAGAACTACATATAATTTTGAATTAATAAGAACATTTCTATCCAGCTTTAAAAAAAGTTTAGTTTCTATGAATGAACTATATAGGGAAATAGTTTCTTGCCATTATATTACATTAAGCAAAATTTTATGACTTTTAAGTTGATCACACCTTGCTGGTATGTACATGTATCTTTTGCTAAAAGTAAATGTAGTTGACCTCGATATGAAATACATATCTAAAAAAAAACATAAAATTTTTCCTATTATATAACTGAAAGCTAACTGAGCTTATGATTTTGCTATCTCATGTATTTAGGTGTGCTAAGCCTCAGACTTTTGCAGACTGCTCAGGAGATGAGTTACCATATGGTTGGGAACAGTGCCATGATCCAACTGTTGGCTACTATTATGTTGACCATATTACTCGTAAGTACACAGATTCTCTTGAACCAGTTAGTATGAAATATTGACATTGCCAAAAAATTGCACTGTTTGATAGTACAATTTAAACATAACCTTTTTATTGTGTTAAAAAATTAGATTAAAAACCAGTATTACAGTGTTTTATATATAAATGTGAATAAATTAAGATAAATCAAATTGTGCATCTATAAGTATTTTTATGAAACATTTCTTTGAGTGAGTGTGCTTTGATTATTACAGAATAGTTTAGAGTTAAATAAATAAGAATACTTTAAGTTTTGATTACTATTTGTATTTATAATGTAAGAAACTAATTTTTAGTATGGTAGTTAACCTGGTTTTTGAATAGTAGCCATGTAACTACTACTATAATATGTGAATCTGTCACATCTACATGAAGTGACAAGTTTTGCTAAGCCTGTGTTTTTAATTGAGCATTATAAACAGTTTATCTGTTGATGGAATTAATGACAATAATGTAAGTAAATATTAGGCCTAAGGTTATTCCTGTGCTTAAGTTTTAGTTTCAAGACCTTAAGATGAAAGACATAAATCTTTTGAAATGTTGTCTTTTCCACCTTAGCTTCTTTTATAGATTAGTCTTCCAAGACTTTCTCGTCATGTATCATTCTGAACTCGGCAGTTGCTACCCATTTCAACTTTGTTTGTTCAAGATGAAACTACTTTACATATCGTTTAAGAGCATTAAAAAGCTTATAAATATTTCAGATCATCTTAAGCACAGATTACATTTATTTCATTTTTAACATAAAAATTACATTTCTTCATGTTTATAGAAACAAATCAACTTGAAGATCCAAGACAGCAGTGGCGGCAACTTCAGGAAGCAATGCTTAAAGAGTATCTTGTTTCTGCTCAGGAGGAATTAACAGTAAACTTTCTCTTCTCACTTTCATTTAGTTAACTTATTGCTTAATTAAAGATATAGACAGATTCTCCAGAAGGAGTCCAGCCACCATTAAATAAGTTAGTGTCAAAATTAATGGCCTGATTGCTATTTTGAAAAACTAAGTGAAATGACATTTTTTCCAAAATCTTCTTACAAGGGGGGGGGAAAAAACTCTTTAAAGAAAGTAAAAAAAGTATGTTTTTTTGTGAAGAAATATACATATAATACTCTAGTTATAATTAATTTGTAATTCATATGTATTATAAAGATGTAATTGCTAATATTAAAAGTACTCTCATTTTTACAAGAATTATTAGTGGATAACATAATGTTTTTTATTATTTTGTAGTCAAAACAGGAGATGTATGATGTCAAACAGCAGAGATTGTCATTAGCTCTTGATGAATACCATCAGTTAAACAGCACCATAGCCGGACTTAGTACCTGCCCATCCACTAGTAGTCTGTGCTCCACTGGGTCAGCTGCTTCTTCTAGTAGTAGTGTCACCAAATATGATCCAGATCTTCTAAAAGTTGATGTGGCTGTTGCAAGAGAGCGTGTAGAAAGACTGAGACAAGAGCTTAGTCAAATATGCACTGAAATGCACTATAAGGAGCAAGGTTTAGAGGTTTTGTCTCGGTAATTAAGACTTCTTTCTTTTTAAATAGTTTTTTTATAAAAATAATAACATAGGTTTTATGTTTTGTTAGTTTTTGTTATTTATATTTTGTAAAAATAATGAACTGAATTTTTTATGCTATTATAATGGCATTTAAGTTGCATCTCTTAGAAGAAAAAAAAATAATGGTTACTCTACAAAGGAGTCTACTGTGTCACTGAAACAGGCATTCTCTTATCAGTGTGTTTTTCTATGTTAGTGCTATCTTGAAAATAAAATAATTTTTTTATATAATACTTACATGCAATATTTGATTCCAGACATTTTCAGTTGTTTACGTAGAATAATTTGTATAGATGTTATTTAAGTTGTGAAAAACAAGGTGGAGAGTTGAAGCAATTAATGCTTATTCTGATCATTGCTAATTTTGTTTTTGTGAAAGGTATAATCATGTTCTGAAAAAGGGTTTTCAGATTTGGTAAATAGGTCATCCTGTATACAAATTCTGGTGTTAAATAACAGTCTATATCTTGAAAGCAATTAGAAAAAGGAAATTATATGAATGATTTCACTATCATATGTTTTTGAAGACATTGAAATTAGCATAATTATTCCAGTGGGTATTTGATAAAATCAAATTATTTAAACTAAGATTTATAAGCTTGAGAAAAAATTTGAATGTTAGGAACAGTGTTTGTGCTTGTTTTTTTTATTTTTCTAAATTGAATCTAGATTAAAAAGTTAAACATTTTTGTTTCAAAGTGCAGTAAAGTATTCAAATTAAAAGCTGGATACTGAATATGAAGAAACTATAAGTATATTTAACTCGATTCATGATTGTAGAATGCAGCTCTAGGTATGTGCAAATATAAATGGGAAAAAAACTTTTGGAATAAAAAAATGTCACTTACAGAGTGGAGCAGCAGTTTTCTGGTCAAAGTGTTGTGTACACTATAGAAGAAGCTCAAGCTGTTATGGACGAAATTCGAAATGTCCAAAAATCTTTACGAACTGGAAGAAAAGAAAAAGCAGACTTAATGCAGGTAAAAGAACTGAAAAGTAGTTTTTCTTCCTAAAATATTTTGACTTCATATTTTCATAAGTTTTTGTTCTTTCCATCTCTACTGTAGAACTAGAATTGCAGCATGATAAATGGATGATTTTCTTCTGTATTCTAAAGACATTATCATAACTTTAAATGAATCCCATTTTGTTTTTGTTTTTACTTGCATCAATAAATTGCATGGTTTGCATTCATGGAAAGTTGTAAAATATCCACTTTTAAAATGATTAGAAATAATGGAAACTGAATGTTTGTGAAAGCTGGTTCTGTTTAACATTTCTATCAAAATATTTGCTTTGCATGTCTCCTTGTTCCACTTAATTCTTGTGTCAGTATAAAAACTTTAGCTTAAACCAAAAAAAATACAAAAGATGTGTAGTAATATTCCATTGAATTTTCTGCACTCAAAAGGAAGTTGTCCAGAAAGCATGTTTTAACATTACAGAACTTAGCAAGATTAAAGGATGATTTAGTTTGCCTGCACACTACCCCAACAGATGATCCTATCTTATGTAATCCCATGGAGAAAGTAAGCACTGCATCCCAAACAGAATTGTCAGGCGAGGTAGTTATAGCTATTACTTTTGTGTCTTTTATGTTCTGTAAAGTAAGAGCTTGCATTTGTATGTTCAATGAGTTTTAGGCATTTTCTTGCTTGTTTTTTGAATTTCTTTTTGTGTTTAGTAGGTGTTAATACTTTTAAGAAATTTTCTTGTATTTGATCGAACTTTGTTGTACAGAATTATTTTTTCAACAACTGATGATACAAAAATTAAAACGCTTAGTAATTATTATTTTTTTTTTTTTGTTGTGATTTGCTTTTTCTTTGTTATAAGCTCCATGATTGAATCTCATTTTAAGAGGTCTTTACATGACTCACTTTCCTTTTGTTTTTTAATTATTAGTGTTTAATTTATCATTAAATGTATTTTATTTCACAAAATGATTAGAATTCAATCTTGGTGATTCGGTATTTAAAATAACAATAGAAAACATTCCAGTACCATTTTGTGATAAACATTAAAATGCTCGAAATTAAAATAAAACTTTTTATGGTAATTATTATGTGATTAAAATCACTTATGATATTTTGCTTGAAAGTATTGATACTTATGTCATAGTATGGCCACCTTGGTGCTCGGCTGGCCGAGATGACTCGTATGAGGCTTCAATATGATGAAATGCGGAAAGTAGTTCACCGAATACAACAGGAACTAGCTGATCTAGAAGACATTATGTCTCCTGGACAGGTGGAGTCTGATAAAGACAGGTAAGATGAGCTCTGTACATATTTCTGCATTTGTTTTTCCCTATTTTTAACCTACTTATTTCTTGTTGAGTGGAGTAGTATTCCTGTGATAATGTCTTAAATTATAATGAAATTGCTATGTGAAAATTTTTTTAACCTACATTCTTGTGTACATGCAACTGACAACATGTTTATTAGAACTTTTAGGTCCTTTGAGTTTTATAATATGAAACTAAAAACTTGAATGATATTTCTGAAAAGAAAAACCTTATCTGGTGTTTGTAGCTAAATTTGTAATAGTTTAATATAGAGGTATTACTATTTTATTTGGAAGTTCATTGTAAATATGAATTTTTAGCATATTTTAATAGCACTACCTTCTGATACAACACTCATCCATTGTCTTGATGTTTCACTTGCCAAGTAGTTGTATATTTCTAGTCAGGTCAGTTTTATGTGGAAAATTATGGCACTAAAAATATGATATGCGACTTACTGCAAAAATGCATAAAATAGTTTAGTTAGAAAATCAAAATGCTATTTGTTGATCAAAATACCTTATTCATAATGTTTCAGGATAAACAAATATAGTAATTGGCAAAGTTGTTCTGTAAAACACAAATTACAGCATCACTGTACTTCTCTTAATTATTCTTAAAAACCGTGAGAAATCACTTACAGTATCACAATATTATCCGTAATCACTTCTTATCTGTCATGGGAAACAGTTTCCAATATTATTTCAGTGCTTAAGCCGGCTGCCAAAAAGTTTGGGCAATTTGGCTCATTGAAAAGCTAAATTGTTAGCAAAATTACCATTTATTTCCACAAAATTGCCTACAGAGTTTTGGGTTGCATGATAGTATAGACACTTATCATCTCCCAACAGCCAACTACCTGTTTGATAATTCTTCATTTGTATCTTCTTATTACCTTTTCACTTTGTAGTTGGTTCTCAGTTTATGTTGCTGGGTGTTTTTGTATTCCAAGCCAGCATTTCATTATCTAGTCTGTAGCTGTGTTCCCTACCTGTCTGTCTGCTACTTTGGGCAAAGGAAAAAGTGGTAATTCGCATGTGTTCACATGTTTATAAAAGGTATTAATGGGCTCTTGTGTTTTATCAATGAGAGACAAGGATTTAGCTGTTTGGTGAACTTGTATTAACATTACCATTAATCACATCTTGTGGGTCAAAGGAAACAACTTTCAATATCATAAATAGGACTATGTGAATAGTGGGATTTGCTAATTGATTAATTTTAGAGCTTATTAGCTGATTAGTTCAACTACTTTAGTATTTTCACGGGACTTGGATAGATGAAATAGTCAAAAACAATAGTAATAATTAGAAACACAAATTGATTAAGTTGTAAAGCCTCTAAAATAATAATGAGAAATCATAATTTAATATTTTGATTACTTAGGAGAGTTAAAATAATTGGAATCACAAATTTCAATTAATCATTATGATTAATCATTGATGAATCGATACTCGTAGGTAATAAACTATATTGATTAATAGAGTTAGTCACCCAGATCTAATTTTAAACATTCTCCATAACCAGTACTTATCAGTCATGGGAAGTAACTTCCAATATGATAATCTCCTTAACCACCTCTTACAAGTCACAGGAAACAACTTTCAATATTCTAACATTCTCCATAACCAGTACTTATCAGTCATGGGAAGTAACTTCCAATATGATAATCTCCTTAACCACCTCTTACAAGTTACAGGAAA